AGCAGGGAGCCTGATGCGGGACTCGATCCCGGGACTCCAGGATCATGACCTGAGCCGAAGGCAGTCGCCCAACCAACTGAGCCACCCAGGCACCCGCATTCCAAAAAATGAATTCTTACACACTGCAACTCCTCTGAGCTCTGACACTTTGCTATTATTTGTAAGCATTGCAAAGTGTGGACCGAGTAAGAAAGGCATTGTAAAGTAGGGGCAGGATCAGAAGAGCATTGTAATAAGGAATTGTTTTTTTCAAGAATTTTTCTCAGGGCACCTAGGTGGTTCGGTCAGTTAAGCGTCTGCCTTTGGCTCAGGTCATGATCCCAGGGTCCTGGGATCCAGCCCCACATCGGGCTGCCGGCTCAGTGCGGAGCTGGCTTCTCCCTCTGCCTGCCCCTTGAAAATAAATAAAATTTTTAAAAATCTTTGAAAAAAAAAAGAATTTTCCTCCCTTTGTTATTTATTATGCAACTCTTTTATATTTTAGTAAGCATTTGCCTTTTATAAACATGTCTGATGGTCCAATAGGCTGATTTTTGAAGATAAATTTAAAGTGGAGGAAGAGGATTAAAGGACCAGACACATGTCTCATGAGATCAGAAATGGAGAATTACCATCTTCTGAGTCATTTCACAAGAGTCGACATGCCAAAAAGTCTGTCTTTACAATGAAGCTACTGACCGATGGAATTTACACTAGCTGGTAATATAAGTTGTCCTGTCCCATGTGCATTGTCTTTAACAAATAATTTTAAAATGCAGCGACAGCTCCAGGAAAACTGAAAGGGCAATCATATACCACAATCATTTGACAAGTAAAGGGCCTGGTTCTTTTAAATGGCTACTGGAATTCTACTCTCCCCTCGGTTCCCTTTTTTTCTCTAACAGCAAACATTTATTGGGCACTTACTAAACGCTAGCCGCGGGTGATATTAATTCCCATAATAAAGCCTTTCCAATTTCCAAGGTCCTTTCGTGGTCATTATAAGTTAGGAGATCGAACTCAGCAAGTGACTTACCCAAGTTTGCCTGTGTTAACGGTGCAACAAGATTTTTAACCCAGGCCATCTGACCCTTCTTTTAAATCTTATTTATTTTCCCCAAATGACAGTAGAAATGTGAATGTGCATTTTTTTCCTGGCCTCTCCCACCCTTGTTTCTTTTTTACTACTTTCTTGTCTTTGGTTTCATCTTTTCCTTTCCCTGACTCTGAAGCTTTTAGTGACAGATACAGCCTGATGCACAGTATGGCAGGACTGATGATGGAAATGTAGGATTGAATTTTAGTCCACAAACTCACATGTGCACAAAATGCGGTTTTCCTACTATTGGAGATTCAACGTAATTTCCCTTTTGAATCCTTGTTCTTCCAGGTGGCAGAGATGTACTCACAGAATTTAAAGCACCTGCTTTTCCTTGCAGTCCAAGTAAGTCCCAGTGACTTGTATGGTGCCAAAAGACTTGGCCGGAATGCCCTGCTCCTACGTTTTTATGCCTTCTTCCAAACCCATTTTACAATGAATGCCAGGGGGTCCAAATTCAGATACCTGGAGGGGCCAAGCAGGTCATACCAGTTTGCAGATAAAGGTGAGAAGGAATGCAATATAAGACTGTAGTGAACTGGGGCGCCTGGGTGGCTCAGTTGGTTAAGCGACTGCCTTCGGCTCAGGTCATGATCCCGGAGTCCCGGGATCGAGTCCCGCATCGGGCTCCCTGCTCAGCAGGGAGTCTGCTTCTCCCTCTGACCCTCCTCCCTCTCATGCTGTCTCTCATTCTCTCT